CGCCCAGAGCAAACATCAATGGTTAGAATCCCAAGTCCTGAATCCCCGTGCAGGTCTACAGTGGAAGACCTCTAGACACTGGAGGAAGACCGCAACTTCCGTGCGGCAGGCCGAATGTCTCGTTTTTGTAAGGGTCCAGACTGGTCTTGGTAGTTGTCCTGACCGCAGTGGCCTTCCTCCGTGAAGAAGTTTTGCTGAAAAACACCCTTTATATGGTGTCTGAAGATGTTAGACAGCGTGTCCACTGCAGTGCGCTACTAGCTACTACCCGCGTTGCTTTGTTTCAACAGTGTGGCCTTAAAGGATGCTCTGAGAATCTTCCTTTCATTGCTCATCAGTGATACCATGAATGAGTCAAATCTTCCCATATCCTCCCGGTCGCAGTTTCTCTACACGAAACGTCAGGCACTTTTCTCTCAACACAACACCTTACGCTAAGTTACAGATCACTAAAATCCAGTTCTACTTTCTTTGCTGCGGCTGTATGGACCAAGAAATTCAGTACGCCCATTTTGCTATATTTTTGTGGAGAAGAATTTGAAAAAGGTCGGACTCGGAGGAAAACTATACAGGAGATTCATAAAAAGCTGTGGACTGTAACTGTTGTGCCGTTTGGTAAGCGTTTCTAGATCAGTCGCGCACCTTCGCGCGTCGACATGTACGAGCGTACATGTATGTTCATGATACTTGCTATTCCAAACTAACTGGTGTAGTTAACGGATCCCTGTCAAGACGGCGATGGACTCTTGACTACTCAAAACCCTAGTTATGCAGACCCGTTTTCAACATTTGTCTCAAATTACAAGCTACCAATTCATTAACCTTTTTACCACCCCTTCGGAGAAAGTCAAAGGATACAGAGCTATACAAATGCCCATGTCCGCTACTGGTTTCCAATGGCCCTATCATCAGCCCGAAGTCCAGCCAATCTTCTCGAGACTTGCAAATTCGCCGAATACCTGAAATTTTCATCAATCAACACAGGCAAAGTCCCGGTAACAGGATCCCCGGGAGAGTATGTGGTACCTGTGTGCCGGGCAAGGCGAGGTCTTTTCTGGGATTTTCTCCTGGATTACGAACTAGATACACCAAAGCCAGGCGCGGATACACAGCCTTTAGCAGAGAACATATACACAGATACCAGGACGATGATCGAATGGACTCTTACCAGACATTGCCATGATTATGGATACTATTCATTGGTAACACAAGGCCATGATGTACTAGTTGAATGAATGAAAAACTACCGGAAATCAACGTGTATACATTTACGATGTGAAAAAGCAAATCGGCACAGGCTATTTTGAATTTTATATCGGTGTGCTCTTCTTCCATGTCCCGATACTTAGTCTTGCATCTTGTCATAAGTTTTCCTCCGACATTTGAACATTTCATTGCCATGGACAAGAATTGATAGCCTAATAGACTCTATATTAGCTATCTGGCCGTTTCCAGGCCGTGCCTTTTATGTTGCAAAGTAGCGACCTCGGAGACGAGGACTCTAGGTGAAAACGGATAGACACTAGGCTGTAGACCAAAGAATACATACTAATACTTGCTTCATAGTCCGAAAGGTGAGTAAAAGCATGAAAAGTATTAACCAGAGAAAGAAACTGACGTATGGGTTAACCGCAGAAGGTAGCTGTATAGAAGTATCGACATATCTAAACATGATATTACTATCACTTGATTGATTGAATTCTTCATCTGTTACAAATCAACAATGACCAAATACTTGCTAACAAAAGGCCCAGGGTCGTGTGGTATATCATTGATATTAGATTCACCACAAGAGCTACCGTTCTGAAAGCAAGCATTCCACGCCACCTGTATCGAACATAATGTATGTCTTATCTCTTTTATCCATCAGAAGTTTTCTGCACCTGTCCTAGAACCTGAAAAAAAAAAAGGTTGGAAAATACGGACAATAGCTCTCGACGTGAAAACGCCACACTTGATGCATCATAATATGCGAGATGTGGCTTTCAACATTCGTCTTTCACTCATGAGAATGACAAAAGTGCAGCTATCACAGCGCACAAATCGCCATATAGTTTTGTTTCATCAAAAATGTGTTAACGATTCTGATGCATATTTAGCGTTGGGAATATGTACTCTCCTATCAATGCTATTTATGTTCAAACCCTGTATCTGTAATAGCCTTTTTCTGCCAGACGTTTAATTTCTATATATTGATTACACATACAGTTGGTATCTAGTCACCATGTGCTGTAGTCAAACGTAAGTACCCCCGCTAATCTCTCTAATGGACGTGTCGATTCTAAAGCCTTCAGATGAACAGTTCATTCTATCACCTGTCCTTGTGGCTATTGAGGATTTACACAAAAATGCGGACAACAATAAATTTGTCCTTCGCACTAATAAATGCTAATTTGACAGAGCGAAGAAGTTGACACGTTGATAAGCCTCCACACGCAAGTGGAATTATCCGTGGAAAAAAATAGGGCGGGAAGTCCGATTGGCATCAGAGGAAGGAAAGGGAAATGTTGTGAGGAGATAGGGTAGATTGGGCCGGGCTGGGCGGAAAGGGACTACGCTGGGTGGGGAAGATATGAACTTCCAACAGGAAAATACAACGTAATGTTCCAAATCTGTAACCCAGATAGAAAAAGGCAAAAACTATCAAATCAAAAGAGTGGGGACTGATTCTAACAGTCATATCGACATGAGAAAGGTTATGGTACGTAAATTGAATGATAAGTGATGAGAAAAGGATAAGTTATTTTTCTCTTTGTTGGCCTACGTCCAATGATAGAAACAAACATGCAACAATGTTTATCCAAACAAATAGCAAAATGTTTAGGCAATAAATATTGACAGACTGCACACATATTTCTGTCACAGAAAAACTCAAACGTAAAACAATAAAATAGTACATGTGACTCGTGGTCAACAGTTTGAAAAGTAAAGAAATTGAGAATGAATTGAGTAAAGGAAATGAAAAGAGTATAGGTACAAATAGGATGATAGTTGAGATTTGATGATTTTTACATTTGTACATGTTATGAAAAATACTATTGGCATGAGGAAAGGGAAACAGATTGAAGGTAAGATAGATACCAAATATCAGTTGTGTTCTGAAGTACAAGCGGGATGAATTAATTACTGCCGGAAAAAACAGACGGCGTCATTGAACCTAAATTGGCGACTGACATACATGTACATGTAGTGGGAACAGGAAAATAGCGAGTGAGAAAAAGCTGTTATGGGGAAATCATTCGTGTTTCTACCGCCTAGACTTCGAGAGAAGGGTGGAAACGATTGCACAACTGGTTTCCTGAGCATAGTCACGACGGTGTCGTCGGTGCCGTATAGAAATAAAGAAACGAAGTGGAAGGCTTGAGATCGGTGATGCTTTTCAAGTCAACTGTAAGGAAAAGTCAACGAAGTAAAAATGTTTGGAAAGATCTAGAACGAGAAAGATGACATTTTTCAGAAACTGGCGGTAAGTTAACGTTCACACACTTGTGTTCTGTTAACCCACACACGACATGCATGCTAAACAGAGGGAAGGAACAAGAAAAGAAGTTGATAAATTTGTTTTGAAACTATGGTTGCAACTTTCAAGTACAGAAGACGCACTCAAAAATACTTGAAACACAAAGTGCCCGCGGATTGGCTTCCACAATTATTGGATCAGCCTGCAGCCCGAGTGTAAACATCAAATAAAAGAAGGAAAATCCCGGGCCGGAATACCGACAGAGAACACTAGAACAAGGGAGTGTTATTCTAGGACAGAGAAAATATGAAATATGAGTAGGAGAAACATGAGGCTGGCGGTCACGCTACAATGGGTGTATGAACGAGTATGAACGGTTGGTTTGCTCTGTCAACATCATGCGCCGCTGCCGAGATATCTTAGTAACGATGACGTTATTACAACAGGTGCCCCTTTATATCCTCATCAAAAACAATGGACCACTTTGTCGCCCACGCAAAATAGGACTGCATGCAATGTAACAACAGAATAACATTAATCTTAACAAGAGGTTGCGTTCTCGACAACCATAAACACGAGTAATGAACAATGTTCTAATGTATCGTATTGAGGTATGCAGGCATAACCAGCCATAAAGGCAATTTGGCTAAGTTAATCTTTACTACCCTTGTTTTCCAATATAAATGTTGTATGAGCACATGCATCATTCAAAGGGAGTTTTAAACTGATTACTAAGTAGTTATGCCCACACCCCATACGACGCCTTTAGAGTACAGACATTCGTGCATAAATTTTCGGCATAACTCCTCCTCAGATCCCCATCATTATGTCGTCAACCGGCCCAGAAGAAGCGAACACCTGGGAGAGCCAGGTAACAGAAGTGGCCGCTTGTTTAACGTCGTCGCACCTGGCAAATGACGGTGTTCTTAAGGCATCTTAAGGGGCGTGGATGCATTAAGGCATGCGACAGAGACAGCAGAGAAGTTCACGGTTGCATTATTGATAAGATGGGAAAACTATACATTATGTACGACGCTGTAGCAATAAGTGATGAATAATATCAACTGCACTTAGAAAGTAAACAAAGTTTGGATGAAAAACGAGCCGCGAACTGGACGATTCCTGGTGAACCCATCGGCGGGGTCAAATATTTCCGAATGAGTAAACAAATACATTAGATCAGTGTAAAAGGCTCGGGGCGCTACACGGTTCGCCGCTCACAGTAGTATACCCTGTCTAAAAACAACAATACTATATACGACAGGGTAAACACTGTCGCTTACCTGGATAGCACGACGCCGGTTCTAAGATGTTCAAGCTGTTTGAACGCAATGGCGCGAAGTTAACTCTACTCCCAGAAGGATCAGCAGACTTTTGGAACTTGAAACAGTGGTGGAATGCAGGCCAGAAACAGTTGTACAGGATAACTACCAGACTAAGGACCACGACAAGTTTGTTTTTGTAGACAGTGAAATGGGAGGGCCAGATAATAGATCTATTTTCCGTCTGTCATTAAGTAAAGAAGGGTTAATTGTCTCACCTGCAGGAACAATGACACGCTTCTCCTTGATAGTCATGTTGGGAGGTGGGGTTCCCCTGTCCTGGCCGAAGCCGGAATACCCCGAAGGCGACGCACCGGCCGGATGGCTGACCTCTCCCCGGGAGGTGGGCACACGGCCCGCCGGCCCGCCCGCACAGGTCCGCTCGCTGCCCCGCGGCATGCTGCAGTCCAGCGGGGAATCCACCGAGCTGCGGCTGCAGTCCTGGGCGCGCCTGTCAGGGGACATCCACGGCTCCTGTAGGGACATCTTCCCGGCCATGCTGTCCACGGCGCACGAGGAGGACGGCACCGACAGCCCGCCCTTACTACAGTCCTGAAACGCTCCCTCAAACAGAGACTGGTCCGAGTCCCCGACCACCTGTAGAGCCTCCTGCCGGGAGATAAAAAGTTCAGAAAAATCTTTAAAATCGTCCTCGCCATATTTTGGGATTTTCTACAAAAATACACGAAGGTCAACCTTTGGCCGAAAAGTGGGCATGCATTAAAAACCGACAGGAAGAGCTGGGGGATATTTTGCCGCCGCCGTCGGAATCAGCGGGCAAGTCATCCCGCTTCCTGCCACAAACAACACAGGTGAACACGCGACGCTCCCATTACCAAACAGGCCCAAGGAAAAAGTAGCTCAAGAATGTCAACCTCTAAGGTTTCCAAGACAATGAAGGCTCTTCCTGTATAGGAAGGGGAAGGTGTAGTGGGCAACGGTCGGGCACCGCACATTACAGCCATCTTTACTCTACAGCGAACTTCTCGCGACTCCTTACGATTTTCAGACAGTGGAGGGACCGACGGAATGACTCACGCCGGTGCGACTAGACAGCCGCGGATTCCAGACAGGGTCGTCTCGTCTCGCAAACACAGACCCGACATGGCTTAAGGCATGGGCCGTCGCTTAAGACGGAAATAGCTAGGTGTCCCGCCGTATGGCGTGTACATATTCTGGACAGTTTGGAAAATATGCTACCATTGTTTGTTGAATGGGCCCACGCGTCCGCCAGCTTTCATTGAGGGCCACACGAGCACAGAGTAACCGTTTTAAATACAGAGCTGCGATGGTAGTATATAGCGCAGCGAAAGGAAATGACGTCACCTCATCCGAATATGGGTAAACAACACCTCTGCTGTCTATATATATATGTGTATAACGGTAGGATGTTTTGACCCTACAGTAGGGACTACAATTAGCTTTATCCGTGGTCTCCTGACCATGAGCTTTGGGAACAGCAGAGGGATCGAATAGGGGATCACAACTTCACAGCGCCGGCCACTGGCTTCCCGCCCTTTTTTTCAACCCCAAGTTGTAGAGCGACCTGAGGGCCTCTTCTTGGAAATGGCCGGGCCGGGCCCGCGTGACTGACGGGCTGAGTGTCGAATTCAGACGGGGGATATATCGGCAGATCTGGCCGGAGATTTACAGAATTCCTGGTCAATTGTTACACACAGGGGCCGACAACTTAGCTCATGGGGTTAATAGATAAGTAAGAAGGGAGGGGGGGGGCCAGCGATCTCCCCAGCTAACTCGACTTTACCCAACACAAGCTTCTCACTTGTGCAAAGATTTACTCACACTCATAAATCGATCTCCCTCTTTCATCCAGAAGTGCTCGCTAAAATAAAAATTATTGATTTGTTTCCCGCCTGTCAGAAAAGGTAACTCACGGCCATACGGTTGTGAAAACAGTGCACATATCAACAAAGCTACAGTCACAGTCACAGAGGCTGGTCAGCAATCAGTACCCCTGAACATTTGTAGCACAGTCAGGTCTTACGACTGTAAACATGCACTTGGTGTTTCAGGGATGTCAACAAGGATTAGTCGCCGTGACTGTTACAGTTGAACGTCCGCGTGGAAAAACACAGACAGGCCCAGTATTTACAAGTTTTGTTTGGTTCTATATTTACCGACCAGTCCCGACAGAGAGGAAGTCCGCTTGTCATGACGAAAAGAAAGAAAACTTAGGAAGTCAACAGGCGACCACAACCTACGCAGTCAGTCACCGGTAAATACTCCATTCAAAGGTTTCTATGTAAAATTTGGGTGGTTTAATTTTTGCATCAATCTGTACCACTGTAGTTAATGATGTACCGGGTGACCAGTATGTCGAAATCACTTTTGGTGTGGCATAGTCTATAGACTACGTGGCGCGACTACACTTAATTATTGTATCAAATGTAAATACGGGGATTAAAATGGCATTTATACATTTAAACAAGATTCTTAAGTAAATCTTTACATCATTTTCCCACGTCGTTTTCGCTACTTTTTTGGCTACGTCGCGTGACTGTCATGAACAGTACTGCATGTCCTCACACAAACCAACAGTAGCTAACTCGCCATTTGAGGTTTCCTTGCCTTTTCACTCTGTCTCTCGGTGAAGCAAAATATACTAGAGAACCGAGTAAGGCGCGTGGTCTGATCCTAGTTCATTTTGAGGATTCGTTTTCGACTGTAAGAGACTAAGACTTAGAGGTCAAGAAGAACATATTCAGTGAATTATGTCTCAAGTTAACAACATCGACATTTGGAACCAAATTTACGAATTAGTAAAACAACATATGCACAGAATAACCAAGAAAATAACCGGTAGGGACTATTATTATGTATGCATGTGGGCTCTGCTTGCTAAATTTGTACTCTTTACAACAGAGTTACTAACAGTTACTGCTCTATTGCTTGAGGAATAGACGATGGGAAAGTACAGAAATATCTGATTCTGTTTTGATTCCGTTTGATTTCCACACGCATTGCAAGATGGATCGTTTTCAACTGGTGAAATGTACATTATAGTGTATTTGTCTGGGCATCTTCCCTGACTTCCGAGGTCACAAAATTACAACAGAAAGAACGTAAAACTAACTAAACCTCAAAGTCTAGCATTGAATATTGAACTCCGTTTTTGCGACATTCAATTAGGTATTTCTAGGTGATTTGGCACACGGCATATGGACGGGAAAAACACTTCGACTCACGAGTCTGCAGACTGAGGCACGAGGACATTTTGCCGTTGAATACATCGTTGAGCCACACTGTCTGAGGGGTTGGCTAACTACAACTTGTACGAGTGGCTGCTTCCAATCGACGAACCGTAGTGGAGCACCTCTAACTGTTATAAAAACTAGAGGTATCATGGTACAATACTTGGCTATCAGTACTAGGAGTATCTGTACCAGTAGGCGAAAATTGTACGGATAATTCTGCTCCAGACGCAATGGATAGAGAAGCCGTAGTTGTAGGGATCCTTTGACCAGGCTGCTTTGACTAATGTTCTTATATATTTGTAGTCTTCACCAAACTAACACCGCGGGTTCAAAACCAGCAAAATTTAGCCAACATCGGAGGAACGATTAGCCAAGGAAGTTCGGCCACCGTAGAGTTCATTTGCCCTTCCGAGAGGGAGATAAAACCTTAACGGTGGATCCACTCCCCTGGCCAGTCAGACTTTATTTTTGCCGAATTTTACTATCCTAGCACCGTAAGGAAGGTCTGGTGTAGGCTAAGATCTTTGGATAATAATCTCAAATGAAACCATACAGGAATCACGTAGCGCCTTGTAATCAACAACACAGATATGTGCAACAAGTGGCTAACGCGAAGTGTATGGACACATTACTGTACTGCCCGTAGCGCCACGGCCGGGTTTGTACCTTAGCTTCGCGTTACTACAGTTCATCGGAAGTTAAATCAAAGGTTACTGCTCTAGAAAATAACACGTATACCAGAATTCTCCGTAGAATTTTCGTTTTGGACGTATGAATGCTAACGCAACTTCAAGGGGAAAACATGAAATGTTAACTAGCTGGATTTCATCAGAAATTCTTTTAGAAGTTTCGCAACATTTCGTTGTAGCAAAGACGAACCGGCGATCATAATTTAGAACTTACGGGGCAACGAGGTTCAATGTTCGTCATATAAAACCCACACTTCACAAGATAAAAGTGCACCTCTTATCGATGGTCTCTGGCTCCCAAGAAGTAACACAAGAACAGTATTTAAATCTATTTAGGAAGAATTTCTGGTGCAACTGGCAGCAAATTTTGAGTGGTACTGATGCAACTTTCCTCCATTTACTACTGACTACTTGGTTCAAGTCAAAATCTAACAACGACATGTTATAACACAATTCTAAAGCACGCCAAACTTTGAGTAATTCCCGTGAAGGACAGAATATACTAATTCAGCATTGATCTATATCATAGCAAGCTCGTACATACGATCTGAATCTAAAAAGGGGATGGCGACAGAGATGAAGAAAGAAGACCAACTACAAAATGACTACGCTAAACTCTCACTACTGGACACGATACTACTTCTCACTGAAACGAAGCGTATGGTAGAATTTTTTACCTGTCTATAAAATGTATCTTGTGCTAGAGACCAGAAAACACATGGCATGTTCAGCAGACGTGCATGAACCCCGGTGACAAGGCAGCGGATACGGCGGGCACACGAGTACTGCCGGCCGGGCGGGATTACCTACTTATACCGCCCAGTGACAGGTGCATGGATGTTCACTCCGCACACGCAAGCGCGCACATCGTCACAGTCATTAATATTCAAATTTGTAAAATAGTCAAGAAAACACAAATGTTCTTCGGCGACTTCTCTACCTCCTCGGTGAAAGGCATGTGAAAATGGGTCGAGGGGGTAAGACCTTAGCGTGAAAAACGAGTTAAACTTATAAATGCATTGGTCGTGGTACATTTATGAAGGAAAACTCTCACATGAACACAGGCACTCCCTCTGCATATTTCTGTGTTGTTCTCTTATCAAAATTCTTCACAAGTTCTCTCCAACTATCGCCTTACGTATCCCTCTCTGTGAAGAATTCCTAGGATAGTTTTATAAGTCAGACATTTGTTTCTATACTTGTGTTCGCCTAAGGCTAGGGGACCTAGTTTTGCTTCAGTGATTATTTTCTTTGACATGCCTTTATTGACGGACAATGAAGTGCCAAGAAATTATTATTGTCTTGTGGGTTGTAGAGTCGAAAGAAGAAATGATGAAGAAACAAATGTCTCGAGAAAATATTCAAACGAAAATTGGTCATTTCCTTCTGTGCTTCTGATGGTAACGTACTGTAGACACTTCCTTTCTAGCTAAAACGATGAACACTGATTGGATGATTACTGCAGTTTAATCATGACAAATGGTACCCTGATTACAGCACACATGTACACTTGCTGAGGATATGGGTTAACACATAGGGCACCACCATACCAATGAATGAAGCAGAACAAACAAAACCTATTGAGTTGTTTTGGTAATACCCTGTGCAGGTCGACCCACACGTATCTACGTTACTTGAACAGAAGTTCCGTGTGAGCCACACCTAGTTCAGTAGTCAAAACTCAGCTAATCAAAAACAGCACTTA